GGATTTCTCAGAGAAATATCAAAAAAGCTTCAAAAACACCCAGCCCATCATTACAGGGTCAACTGACTAACACTTAAATGAGTAAAATCTGTTACTGCATGGAGTCATGCCATGTTTTTCAAAAGTGGCCAGAACACCACAAACCCAGAAAGCAAAAGTATGACTTATCTCTAGAGATGCCATCACTACAATATTTTAATACCATTAACTGCAACCATGACTTACTACTAGTGTAAAGAATTTTCGCAAGAGTAATTTCCAGTGTTGCTCCACGACTTCCCTCACCAAGCATATGCAACTGTGCACAGAAGGGAAAAAAAAAAAGTAAGAATATTACTGAGTTAAGAGTATTTCTACAAAAAAACAAGTTACGTAGTCCTAAACAAATATTACAGGAATGTCTTTGTTGGACTTCCTCATGATATCCCTCTGGTAAGTTTTGATTGCTAAGCTCCTTCCAAAAGTATAACTTCACTGAAACATTTAAGAATCACAGAAAAACAGACCCAAGAGCAAAAGTAGATAACAAGATTTACCTTCCATTTAACTAGACCATAACCAACACAGTTAACTCCTGACAGTAAACAGTCAGTGTGGCGATCTTTATATTCAGCCTAAAGCAATTTTAAACAAACTGTGTTTTAAGCAACACTTACAGTGGAAGTTAATATAAAAAAATTTCTAGCAGCCAGCTACTTCCAGAAAAAGTAGAAGTTAATTCTTAAGCTGCCTTCTGTTTAGAAGCTACTGTGTTAAAGTAAGGTCAGTCAGCCTGAAGCATTCCATGAATTAACCATCCCTGCTAGATGTTATACATGTGATTCAACCCCACGATCAACCCTTAGTAGCACAACCCAGCCACACCATTAAAAAGCAGAATAAGGGGTAATTGTCACAGTCAAATGTTACTTGGTATTTTTCTTTTTTTAATGTTTCATTTAGTCATTAACACCAAAGTCTCATGGTTTCACGTTTAGGAGTTCAGTTCCAGGATTCATAAAACACATTCAATACGATTAAAATTATTTACGTTTTTTCTAATCCATTAGAGATGTCTAATTGACAAGTAGTTATTAAGTAATTCACCATCAACCACTAACACAGTAGATCTCTCAATATAGAATCTATTGTCCTGATATGGCAACAAATGCTTCAGTTAAAGAAAAATAACTTTCCATATTACAGAATTATGTACCAATGCAGAAAAAACTTAGTTAAGTAGTAATAATTTCATGATAAACACTCAAAGCAAAACCAAGTAATCAAAAACCTGCTCTTTGCTAATAATTGTGTATTATAAATATAAAAATTTGCATATTATAAATCTGAGTAAATCTTGTAGCATACCTCATCCACTACAATCAGACCGAGGTCATCAATTCTTTCTGTTTCAATTAAGGAATTCACTAGAGCATGTCCTTTTTCTATAGTAGCAATATAAAGAGACTTTTTTATTCTCCTCTTGATTGGTGGAAATCTTCCTTTACTTCCTGCATATTCTTCAACCAGGAAACCCAATTCTATCCCAAAGCTCGATAAACCCCTAACCTGTAAAAATGATCAATTAGAGAACAAACTCATGCTTATTTTGGATTTCAGAGCTGCCTCAAGAAGTCAACATGCATATAACCAACCCACACCACAATCAACTGTTTGAATTAGTGAAAACATATTAGCTATGACTACCTTTTCCAATTGCAAAGCTGAAGTGTTTACAAATATTTTCAAGCTTGGGTTACATCTGTTCTCTAAAATTAGGTTTTCCTTTATATAAAAAAGTTAGTTTTTATTTCAAGACCGTTTCTTTAGCAAGTTGGGCAGTACCGCTCTAAGACTGCGGAACTATACATAACATTGCAAAAAGGTATTATTTCAAAATTCAGCACACTTCACTTTGTAACTCAGCATCTTCATCTCATAATTTAAGTCTTTTATTACGAAATTACTGACCATCAGAGCAGCATTTAGGAGAGGAGTCACTGACCTCCCACTGTATATTTATGAAAAGCATGGAGTTTGCTAAAATTAGTGTTAAAACCAGCCAAGTAACAAGGCATATCAGAAGAGATAAGCAGTATCAGAAACACCGCATCCAGACCTTTTCTTGGACAATGGCAACATATGGCAGGATCATCAGAACATCTTTCTGCCTGCAGAGTAATTCTTGGAGAATTATTATTTCAGCTACAAGTGTTTTTCCACCACTGGTTGGCAATGAGTATATTAAATTCTTTCTTTGCTGTAGAGATTCTAACATTAAGCAATCATGCTGCCATTCTGTGAAATGAAAAAATAATTATTAGCAACCCACAGGGGCATGTTAATCAATATCAAAATGCCTATGTGTCATACAGAACACTTTAGGCCTAGTGTTTGAGAGTTTTTCTTCAATAAACCACTAAAAGCTTTCAGTGATCGAGCCTTCCTAAGTATTCTATAAGCTATATCAACTTTTCCCACCTGTCTAAAAAACAAAATAACCACTTAATAAAACAAAACAACCACTTTCCAACATGGTTTACCTTAAATATTACCTTAAATATTTTTACAGTGTAATGGGTACAACAGGCCACACTTCACTAGCATTTTTTTTTTTTCCAACAAACCATTAGTTACATTACCATAAAGCGTTTCAATCCCTCGAAACTGTCTGAAGAGATCTTTAACTTTGCTAGGTAATCCATAAAAAGGGCCTATATCAACAGAAGAAGATTCAATAGTTTTCCTAGCAACACAAATCTCTTCAGATAAAACAGCTTCTTTAAGCTGCTTGGTCTTAGACACCTGCAGAGTCTGGGCTTTGGCATTTCCAGTCATAGCACTTTTCAGATGATCTTTAAGACTCTCAGTTTTAAATAAATCACACTTAGAGTCTGAGGAGAAGTCAGTAGGTCTGTTCCCATGTTCAGCATAAGGACAAAAAGATGATGGAGTCCTGATTTTGTCCGAGGAAGAATTCACACATTTATTCCTCCTTTCTGAGACTGGAGATATTCTAGAACCAGCAGAAAGTTCATCCATTTTCTCAAAATACAAAAGTTGTGATGATGGCAAGTCATCTAAAATAGAGTCAGTTGGTTCTTGATTGCTATCCACCGGGTCATTTTCATTCATTTGGAAAGCATCCTCTTTGTCAGCTTTAAGGACAAGCATATTTTCTGAAGTAGAAAAATTATCTTGTTTTTTCTGGTGAATTCCTGACTGAATATTCTCAAGTATGATTTCTCCAGCTGCTTTAATGTCGATATTTTTATCCTGCAGGTATTTGTGCTCTGCATCATCAATTTGAGCTAGCAAAGAATCATTTCCAGAAAAGCTGTCATAGTCGCCAAACATATCTTCTTCACTATCGTTACTGCACTGTAAAAACATGAGTATTAATACTCCAAAGTAACACCAAAGAAGGCAGCATAACTTGTACAGCACACACACATCAGATGTAAGTCATTTAAGTCTTCCCCAACTTAACACGTGTTGTTCTGATGTTGCTTGTGAGGAAAGCCTAGCTTGACTTCTAAAGGAATGCATGCTTTAACCTACAAGCAGACACGATGTCTGCATAGCTACTTGGTAGCGATGGATTTTTTTTTGAACTTAAAGCCAAAACGCGTCCCCTCTCATGCAAAGCAAGGACCTCCCCGACCAACGCCACGACGGCTGGGTCTGGGCCAAGCCACCCTCCCAGACGGAGTCCCCCCGCCTCGGCACCTAGCCCTAG